ACTTTCTTTCATTTATTTTGAACTTGTTTCATGTTACTGTTATTTGATGTCCCCTAGTCCTACTGTTAAATCTTGGCATAACTGTACAGTTACAGGTCCAGCCATGGTTGGTTTTATATGAAAGGATGATTCAGAATGCCAATTCAGGGGCATTTTTACCAATCAAATACTAAGATAACTTGCAATTTTCTTTTCTTTCCAAAATGTGTTTTGGTGTGCCGTTCTGGACTGTTCCATCATAAAACAAACCCTATACCTAATTACTTGCATTTACCCCTTTTGCTTGCATGTTGTGGTAGCCGCTTACACGAATCAGGACTAAACTTTTGTTTGCATAGCTCAGAGAGCTGTGTTATCATAACACCAATCTAATGTCATCGACTGCTTGAGGGAAAAGAACCCACAAGTTAGGCCAAACATGCTGGTTGATTGACTGATGGCAATAAAACCCTTGTATGGGGCTACCACAAAGTTCAGATGGTTTGGCGAGGCCCTCTCAGCTGTATTGTCTCACATTTCTCTCCAATTGTGTGTGAATAGACAATTTAACGAATGCCCGGTCAAATGTGTCTTCTGTCGAGGATGGTGCTCCCCTCCCCATACCTCCATTTTGTGTTTTGCCACACAAGAACAAAGAGCCCAGACATTTCAAAACGGGGTCATCATCATTGCAAGACAGCATGGAAAACCAGAATGGCGAATTAGGTCACAGCTTCTTAAGAACTTTTCTCCTTCATCAGCGCTAATGCTCTTTTTCATAAAGTAATAAACTCTCAGAGTGAGATAGTATGTCTTCCTAGCAATCTGGATAGCACCTAGGATAATGAAGCCCCCTTCCTTTTTATGGCCTCTAGGCATCATCATAATATAAATTATCAATAAAATAATTCTACTTCATGGTCACAGCATATAGACAGATTCACTCAGGTAATCTGGGAACACAGTAATCAATTACTTTTTAAAAAAGAATTAATAATCAGTATTTCTAAACTTGTGAAGGTCAGGGAGGATGCTCAATTTATTGTCTGAAAATGGAAGGCCTTTGCTCATTAATAGGATGTAGGAAAGTTTTCAAAGCTAGTCTGATTGGGTGCTTGTGGATCACATTTACAAAAGCATTTGGATGCTTAAAGGTACTGGCATGATAAATTCTACCCCAGGAGTTTTTCTCCATCTTTTGGCACTCAGAGGTACTGTACAATTGGTGTAGTCATGCTCTGGAAGGAATTATCCTGGCTGAAAGGCCAGTCTGCAGGTCTGGACGACAAGAGTTGTGATTTCTCCTCCAGCACTGACAACTGTCCTGCAGTGTTAAAATAAGATATAAACTTATCACATCTCCTCTCACACTTCATTTCTACCCATTTGTAAACAAGGTCCAGTTTTGTTCACTTGCAGAAAGTGCTTTAGGATCAATGACTGATAAAATATACTATTTTCATTCTGAGGCAAGACTCAAGTTCATTGTCCAAGGTCTTGCTATTTCTGCTGACCTTGCCTGCAGATACGCTAAATTATGAGTTACTGTTAACTGTGATAAGGCTTCTCTGGTGTGAACAAATATTCATTAGGAACTTAACCGAAGCGATTGTTTCAGTTTAAATAGCTTAACAGTGATCCACTGAATGCAGATTAGGCTACTGAACCTGGAGTATAGTTCGTATTGATGCTGAAGACACAGAGTTTACATTATGAAACCCCAAATCCATTCATTCTTTTCCCCTTGATGTGGAAAGTCTCTCCATCTTAAAAAATCGTGATTATAGTATCGCAGTTTTCTTAGTATGTGTGCACTCCTCAGGAACAGCTAGGACTTCTTGCAAAGAAATTCCTACTGTTGCAGAAAACTTGCAGGTATGAAAACTGAATGCATGTATATAGTTAGGGAATTAGGGATTGCCATCATGGAAATGTTTAGAAGGCTGACAGGTCGGGGAAGTTTTAAACTTTTAACCTTACTAAATCCATTCATTAAGAACAGCCTTTGTGCTCATGGCTGATTCCCACACATTGTTCAGCATCATCACTGTTGGTCTTTAATAGCCCTATTGAAAGTCAGCACTGAGTACAGTGTTGCAGGGGTAATGCCTCAAATCTGACACTGATGGCTACGGTCTTTGGTGGTCCCTACCTGCAGAGGTTGTGTGATGAGGCTTGAGAACTCATTGATGAGAGAAGCCAGAACTGAAGTGGACTTTGTCTTCTTTCTCTGATTTTTCCTGCTTATGCCTGAAGTTTTTATGCTATTTCCTGCTCTCAAAAAAGAGGAACTTATCGGCTCCCAGTATCACTTATTTTGTTTTTTGCTTTGCCAATCATTCTTTGAGGTGGGCGGAGGAAGCAAGCAGCCGATTCAATGTGAATGATAGAGCAAGCTTTAACTTTATTGAAAGAAATCACACCTTATATAAGTAATCTACAATACACTACTTGCAACTCTATTGGATACATTTAAGAAACTACATTATAATATCTCAGCCATTGGGTACATCTAAAAGGTCACATTGTAATATCCCAGCCCCCTGTGGCATCTCTGGTATGCATAAACATCTTTCTTGCTGTGAACTTGCTTCTCTCCCAGGGCTGCCTTCCTCTCACCCCCAAGGTCATAATGCACCCCAACTTATCTCCCTGTTCTCACAACAGTCCTTGTTATCATCACTGTACCCTGGGTTTTTTCCTCTGTTTACCTCAGGTGGCTGCGACCGACTTCTGCAGGGAGCTATGGCCTTGCTCTCTGCAAGCTGTTCTCCAACAATTCTTCTCATGTATTTGGCAGGTGGTCCTGGCTATTTGCAGTCCCTTGTGCTTATCTTATCCTCTGTCTGTTAATTTTTGTTGATTGGTTGCCATTTACTTGCAATACACCCTTCTTCAGTAGTCATGTTGCTCATGCACTTATGCAAAATGCTTATACATCACATCTTTCTGTGACATGAGTGTTACAAAATACATTTTCTTGTTAGTTAATCTTTGTTAGTGTCCTTGTACATATTTGAGTTGAAGGCAGGTTAATAGTAATTATATTCTGAGTAATACATTTGTAATTTCTAGGTGTCACAGACCTCTGTTTTGCTACACCTGCATATTGGCAATGTTGTCCACCTTTCTGACCTGTCTTCCCGTGGCACAACAGGCTTGTAGCCTTTATTCTCTTACGGTCTGAATGCTGGTGGCCACACTGTGTGGTGACCTTGTAAAGCAGATGGATATTTTGTTGGCCTTTGCATGGCTATTTCTGCAGATAATGAATCTGCAATTGCCTGCTGAGGAAGAAAAGGAACTGTATTCAATGACTAATAAGACTCCTTATAACTCTACCTCAAGGACACAGAATACTTTGCTCTCTCTAGGGAAAGCAATTCTGCCACAAAATAAGGTCAAGGAGTGGGCCACATCTCTGGCAATATGACGTAGTATCATTTGTAGAAATGATGCTTGGATTAAATGGCCAGTTTGTTGCTTCCCCTTTGAACTCATCCTGTCACTGTGATTTTGGGAGCTGCATTCCTTGGTGGATACAAGGTTTGAAGAATGAGAATGAGATCCTCCTCGACTTTATCCCCAGCTCTGCTACCATCTTCTCTTGTGACACTGAATAAACCACTGTAGACATTATTAAAATATTGGAATAATAGTCATCCAGGAAAAAAAAAATGTTTTCTATAAAACTTAATTTTGTCTTGGTATGGTTGGTGTTCCTTAAGGGAATGACAGGGAAAGTCATTGATTCTGAGCAAACACAGCTATCCCAGTGCTCAGGAAGATAAGCCTCTGGAGTGGCCTTGTGTCTGGTGCCCTCTGCTCCTTGGCAGCCCCCCTGGGCAGGACCACACCTCAGGTGGCCTAAGGATATGAAAAGGTATATGCTACCCACACTAAATGTTTGTTCTCCTAACAGCCAATGAGTCCAATCCCTGGGAAGCCCTTAACCCACTCTTAATCTTAGACTACTCATACTCTCAGTTTACTCATGAAGTTTACTCATGACACCTGCTTTATAGTGAACGCTTAGGTAAATAAGGCAGCTGCTCTTTGTAGTGGTGTAATCATCCTCTAAGGTTGTGCTGGATAATGGGATGGCTGAAATGATAACTGAATTTTTGCTAGTGTTGTCATCTTCTCAACTGCTGAGGTGTTTTCGCATCATCTCGATAAGTCAAGCAAGCATTCCTGCCCCAAATGTTTCCCTTTATCTTCTTGGATAATGACGGAAAGTACCTTGGAAAAGGAGCTTGCAAGTAACTAATAGAGTCAAAAGCAATAGGGGTGCTTATAACTAAGGAAAACAAAGTGAAAATGTTTGGTTTTGGGGAACACAGTCATAGATTGTATTGAGAATTTAGACAAAACTAACCATGATAACAAGGTTGTTTGTTTGTTGTTGTTTTGTTTTTTTGTTTTTTTTTGTTTTTTTTTTTTTTTTAATTTAACAAAACATCATCCTATGCAGTCCACAAAGTGGTGCACCACCTCATGGGCCCAATGATACACTCATGAGTTCTCCCTGTGATTTTGGCCTCATCTTATGGCTCTATTGCAGTTTATTGAACTAGCCATTTAACTACTTAAATATTAACAGCATTCAATTAAGTTTCCTTGGATCTATCTGGCACTAAGAAGGGAAAAATTCTAGGTTTTAAAATGTGTGACTTAACATGATTAAATGGTGAAATGAATAATGTTTTAATGAGTGATTTGTAATTATTTAATAATTAAAGAGCTCATGAATATTCTTGAACACCCCGTGGAAGATCTAAATTGTATGCTGATTTCATCAAGCATTCAAATCTAATCAGAATTTATTTTTATAACATCGTTTTAAACATAGTCTACAAGAACATTGCCATCATAATACAAACAGAACAGAAAAGTGTCATACTATAATAGCTCTGCTGTTTTAGTACACATTCTTGATTTTTCCTTGGAAAAGATTTTTCTGCACTAATGGATTGCAGCTGAACTATCTTCCAAGTCTCACAGCAGCCAGTTGGGTTTCATCAGTGGTTCAGTGACAGGTTAAATGTCCATCAGTTTTGATTTGTAAACACAGATGAATGGTAGCCACTTGCTGCAGGGAGATCTGTCCCATTCACCCCTTCCTGGAAACAAAGATAAAGAGACACCACAATGGAAAACAAGAAGATGTAAAAAAGAAAATGTTTCACTCCTGACATGAAATCGTTCAATCTCAGCTCCGTCTCTGGAAATCCAATTTTCTTTTAATTTGTGTTTCCATAGTACGTACATTGCAGCTTTGGGCAACATCTTAATAAGATGATGTTTTCTCTAGCTAATCCTGGAAATACTCACCCCACAGGGATAGCAGAGTTTCAAGAACAAGGTGCACTATCTGAATCATAAATCATTCCAGGTTTTTCTTAACTCAGATATTCAGGGTCAGGCAAATTTTTATGTTAAACAGGCTGTTAACTAGTCCTCCAGCAGCTCTGAAAAGGGATAACAGAGGCCTCTGGATGAAGGTTGTCAGAGATCCATCATACCATTTCAAAGATGACCCCTGCAGGCAAAAAAACCCTCCAGAAGCTTAACAGAAACCACAGGTTGCTATTAAATTCTGAAAGCAGTTTGGTACATTTATATATGCTGGGATGGAAGAAGGACTGAATGGGGTTCCTCTTCCACATGGATGTCGATACAGATATTGCTTGTGGGGATATCATTGTCCTGGAGAGCTGCATGAATAATTCATTTTTAATTCCATATTAGATTAATTTCACCTCATTCTCTCTTCGTGAATTGTCCTCAAATAACTTGTAATTTTCTTGAATATATTTGTTATTCAGAATAGACTATAGCACTCATGAGTAATTCATAGCAGGTAGGTGACATTCAGAATTCGGAACGTTCAGGATGGACGCACAGGTCATTGTTGTGCCCTGTTACATGGGTAAAAATTACAGATTCAAGTTTCTACTTCCAACATCACTTTTACTATTCTACAATGCTAATTCTAAATTCACCATATCAGCAATAACTCCAGTAGATACATTGGCTGGAATACTTGGAAGTAGGAAGACATGCCAGATAAATTAATTAAAAGAACGTAAAAGAAAATTTTCATGTAAGATTTTTATAACACCACGTCTAGTCTAGTGACCCGACATTCTGTCAAACAGACACTAAATAGAGAACTTTTTATCCACCGTCCAGCTTGTCCTTTGAAATTTGTACTTCAACTTTCCTTCTTTAGATGACACAAATGGAATATGATGCTGATCAGAGTTTATCACTTCAATTTTTTTGATTTTTTGAAACTCCCATCTTCCCTTATTCCCACCCCACAAAACCACTGAAAGATAAAAAACCATAAATTTTTGATAACTCCTTAGTTTTGCTAACACTGAAAAGGTTTTCCATGGCTACAAAGGAAAACTATTCACATGAAAATAAAAGCATTTTTTAATAGTAGAATTTTTTGATTAGTTGAGTCATAAAGTTCTTTCAGCTGATGTTTGTTTTCATTTCTGGTCATGGAACACTTGCCTTTTGGTAATTTTCCCCCATCCAGAACTGGGTTTCCTTCTGTCCCTGAGCAAGTTTACAAAGGTATTCATTCTCATCTGCACTGGTGATGCTCGTTATGTGACCTTTTGCCCTTTCAGTTCAACAGTTTCTCTGCACAGTAGAGAGGGTTAAATGTAGATGTGAAATGGCCTGAGCTCCATGAATAAGAGGCAAACAAAGGAAAATGTGGAACAAATGATTGGGGATTGTAAAGGGACAGGGCTATAAAAGTCCAAGAAGGGGAAATCTAACAGAAGTAGAAATGTGAAGTGACAGAGAAAGCCATGGAAAGCTTGCATTTTCAAGAGGAAGGAAATCACAGATGGAAAAAGAGAGGAAAAAAAAAAAAAAAAAAAAAAAAGCAAAAACCCCTGCTAACTTGGGAATGGAATAGATGGTTCTCTACTCTGTCCAAACAGCCTGTGTCCTCAAGAGTTTGCCTTTGTTAGGGAAGGATACGCTTTCATCTGCACCTTGAAGCAAAAGCACGCACTGTACTGGTGTTTAGGCTCAAGGGAAAACTCTTATCTTCACCATCCTGAGGCATTTAAATTTCACACACTCTTATAGACATGATTCAAGAAGAATATGGCACCCCAAGGCAAACATTTATGGAAGCATTTGTGTTTGTCTTCTGAAAGATGCCATAAGTATTTTTGGTACAGGGCTCACCTGATATATAATCTAAGCAGGTGGCAAGGTGAAGTCAGAATGTCTTTTAGCAAGTATCTCTGGTGATGTTGAAAAAAAGGTTCATTATTCAAAAGGGGTTTGATAAATCACAGAGAGAGGTCCAACCTGGTAGGCATCATGTTGTGTGTTGTGTGGGAAGCAGGGGGAGGAACTATAACCTATCAGTTTTGTGTCCAGTTACAGTCAAGGATCCCCAGGAGCCTGCTTGATTTCTCTTCATTGGTGTATTACATATACCTTATTTCACTGCATGAGCAAAACAGACCCCATGCTCACAACGCTTGACATAATAAAGAAGACAGGATAACAAGAGAAATGAATAGAAGCTCTAAGTTCCAAACAGGAGTTGACTTGTTGCTACTTGAGTGTGTCCTGTGGTGAGACAGAGTGCAACTAACCTCACCAGCAGCACTGAGCTGAGTATCATGTACTTTTGGTCAACACTGATACACAGAAGAGAAGCAGAAAGGGAGGAAAAAAAGAGGCAGGTACAAGAAAGACAGCTGTGGGAAGTAGAGAAGAAATTATGAATACTCCTGTTCTGAAGAAGCCAGTAACTCAGCTTGGGTCCATGTCATTCTCTTTTGAGTAAGTAACAGTGACCTTTGTAAGTAACCCAGCCTCTCTGAGACAGATTTTGGCAGGTCTATTTTGCAGATGAGTTCAGGTAAGGTGGGTTAGGAATTACATTGTGTGAAGGATTAAGTCTGTCAAATGTTTGGGGCAAGAATCAGTCATTACAATGTTTGACTGTGGAGTTCTTAACACCAAAAAGAAACAAAGAATAAACACAAAAGGAAAGACTCACTCATCTTTCCAGAAGACAGAGTATTATCTCCCTATTATCTCTTCTGATTTGTCTAAGCTGAGTTCAGCATTCCAGTAAAGTAATACTACAAAATGAAGAGCAAATGCCAGTAGATATTCAGGGTCTCGCTGTTTTCCCTTTATCTTAAAAAAAAAAAAAAAGGAAAAAAAAAAGAAAAAGGGATAAAGCATTGGTGTATGAAGAGCACTAATTTAGGAGTCGGATGCCATTTAGGTTATAAGCAGAATTAGTTTGCTGCTGTCATTACAGGGTCCAGTGGGTGCAGCTGTACTTCAGCAATCTATTTCAATGGATGGTGCAATGCATCACAGTTTGCAGATTCTGCTTTGGATCTTCCCTCTGGAGACACACCAGCAGGTTCAGCAGGCCAGCCCTGAAAGGTGTGCAGGCCTTTGTGCATTCCCAAGACTCAGCAAAAAGTGGTTTGGCAAGCCTGGAGTGTAGTGTATTAGTTTGTCTTCGCTGGGGAGGACCTGTCTTTGCAATAGTAATAGGGATTTCAGGCTGGTGCATCATGTTGCTTTAGAGAACAAAACAGATCTGTCAGATCTGAATTAAGATGGATTTTTGTTGAAAGTTCTTGGAATTGATTTCTTTCCAGTTTCCTTCTTGGTAAGTAGTCAGCACAGTCGGGTTCAACTTACAAAATATCATTGATTTCTCTCCCCAAACCACAGATGATTCAGCTTGTAATTTTCTCTACAATTATAGAGCAGGTCTCCTTAGAAACTGCTTGTATCCATTCAAAGTTTCATCTTGTGGAAACCACATTTCCCCTCTCTTTGGCCAGATGTGCTTGGCATGAGTCCAAGCAAAAAAGGAGGAGGAAGGTACGATAAATATTCTCTTACTCCTGTTCTCTCTTCTCTGCTTCCTGAAAGGAGATTCACAGCATTACAGTTTCATCTCTCTCTGAGTGCTTTGGGATCTCAGATCACCCCAAGTGGTGGGGTCAGCTATAGGGCTTCTCATGACTCTGTAACAGAAACAGCCAGCATGTTGCATAGCCTTTCCCCCTAAGGTAGGACAGGGTGCAACACAGAGGTCATGGTTTCTCTATCCTGATATAGTGTCATGCTACCAAAGGCTAGTTAAGCCAAGCTGATTGCACAATTGCCTCTGCCTTGGCTGGCTGTCATATGTTTCTCTTCATGTACAACTTCAAAAACACACAGGGGAAGTCTCCACCTTCTCTTGGCATGCCCTGTGACCCTTAAAGTAGCCCATCCTCATGCAGGGACTCCCTGTCATGGAAATTGCTTGGCTTCTGGGTTTGAGAGACAAGCTCAGATAAACCACAGGATCTAGTTTGGACAAATAAATCATAGGACCTAATGACAGTTTGCAGAGCTTTGCAAGAGGGAAGCTTGCACTGGGGCAAGGTCACACGCACCTCTGCTCTCCCCTCAGTACTTTTTTGAAAAGGTCAAAATAACATTAAATTCATTTTACATTTATATATAAAAAAAAAAGCCTCAGATCTTCTGCCTTAGTAACTGCAAAGTGGGTCTGTCCTGGCAACAGAGGCAAAAATGTCAGAGTTTGCCGATGTTTTATCTTAATTGTGCCACAAGAAACACCCAGAGGGATTAAATTTCAATCATTGCCGTAGAGTTGATTGACACTTGCGTAAAAGATGTTGAAATCGTATCTGTTGTGTGGAAAATTTACATCCACTTAAGAGATAGAGAAGGCATTAGGAATAAATAAAAAGACAGTGATGCCTCTATAGGACAGAAAGTTGCAGGTATGTATGAATGTGTTTATATATATAGCATACACACACTCACGAATGTGTATATACATTGTATATATATATACATATGTATATAAATGCATAGATACATATGTTTGTGCACATATGTGCGTAACAGCTATGCAGAGGTATTAAAAATATGCAAAGAATATTAAACCCCACCACCTTACTAATAAACTGAGAGGGATCTAAGAAAAGATAAAACAAAACAAGAGATAGATCCCAGTTTTAAGAATGTGTGCTCTTCTTTCCCTTTTTTCCTTCCTCCTTTTCTTTGTAGGGAGAGAAATCTTTGTCCCTGAGGTGTTTATATCATGACAGCTTTTACCAGCATGGTTCTTTGTTCTGGAAAAAGTAACTGCTTCCAGTATTATGTCTGAAAGCTTTTGATGTACTAGTGTTTTCCCTCAAACACAAATGGCTGAGATCTGGTCTTCTGGATACCTTTGTGTACACTGCTTTAAGTGTCTTTGTGGATTAGGCCCTTAATCTGACAAATTCATTGAGAAATCACATGGGTTTGGAGGGCAAACTCCTGCCTCAGAATGGGAGGCAGTATGGGAGACAGCCAGCACCCCAGAATTTCAGCCAACACTCTAAAGTTGTTTTCTGAGGCTAGACAGTGTGCATGTGGAGATTTCACTTGTGTAATTTTTTGGGCGTACTGTGGTGTGGATAGGTGCCCACTCCTCTCTGTGTCAGCTACAGGGCAACACCTAACAGAGACTTTGTGTAAACTGTTCCTTTGGGAGAGGATTTTCACATTATGCCAATATTGAGGTCTGCTGGTAGAACAATGTTATGGGACAAAGCTAAGAAGCTTTTCAAGCTCTATTAAATTTACATAGGCTCCTACCCATTTCTTAAATCCTGCTCAAGCATCCTTGTGAACAACAAATAACTTTCCAAGTCCCTTAAAAAACCACTGATGCATAATGCTCATTTGCACTGATGCTCTTATTTCAAATTTAAATATTTAGAAAAGGAGCTGAAATGACCTCTTCCTCTATACAGATGCAGGCTACAAATACACCAGTAGGCCCAGATAAATAATTTCCTTAAAATTACTCTTGACTCTTAACTGGGGGTAGGATATATTTTGGTGAGGGCATACTTTTTACAGACACCACGGCCTGGAATCCAGGTCTTCCCTAAAATGGGCAATGTGGGTGGTTTTCAAGAGCTTGCTCAGCATTCACTGAGATCTAAGTGTCCAGCAGCTTTTTGTGGCACTCTTGGAAGTCTGCTCTGGGTCATGTCTCCAAGAGATGTTTGTTGATACCTCCTACAGACAGTGCAGGAGATCAACATCTGAAATCATACCAGGAAACTCCTCCTAGATGAGATTATTGATGTACTATCTGCAAAACTGCACTTGACTTCAGAAAGCTTCTTTGTCTTCCATGTAATACAATGAAAGATGCATTCTGTCTTTTGGGATGAGCAGCAGTGGATGATGATTATTGTGCTAATTCTGCAAAACAAGGGCAAATAAGCGACCAGAGTTTTCTACCCACTCTTCAGTCTCACCACAACATTTTTGTAAAAGACGTCATTTCCAAGTGCTTGCCATTTGCAAAATAGCAGTCTCTCCACTGCAGCTAGATGCATAATTCCTACAGGTGCTGATGCATTTCATTACCTCTTTTTGTTTTGTCCTTGAATAATCTGTGAATTAACTGTGATCATCCCAAACGCATCCATTACCTGGTACTATTGACTGCACACTTTTGACAAATAATCCTGGGCTTGTTGGTTCTTTGTGAACAGCCTTATTCCAAATAATCATGCAGATGCATAAGCCATGTTGTATGCTTCTTTCTCCAGACTCGATGGAATTAATTCTCAGCAGTAGGGTTTCAGATTGTGAATTAAAAATCTGATTTCTATGAATATCTTACAATACTTATTAGAAAGTTACAGTCTCACTCACTCGCTTGCTACTATGCTTGTAGTAAATTGGTACAGAAAGTTATAGGGTTTCAGGGATCACATTTTAAAATCGGATTTTTAGATTTTTAAGATTTTCAACAGACTTCACAGCCCACAACCCCCCGATGAAAGTCAGTGGGACACTGCAATTCCATTTCATTAGGACTTAAATGAAATGTTCTGCCTCTGCCTTATTAGCACAGCTGAAGCTGGCTTGTTTGAATCACAAAACATTTTCAGAGGATTTTGCTGGGTCTGTTCTTTGTGCTTTCATGAAGATGTCTCTTTGCTGTCTGGTTCTCATAGCATGGACATGTTCTGCTTCCCAAAACCTCTGCCTGATGTTAGGATGCATGATGCTACTCATTTGCACTCCAGCTCTCAGCAGCCTTATGTATCCACACAGAGATGGTTTTTGAAGGCTGGGCAGGGGTTTCACAGGGAGAATCAGAGCAACCAGATGCATTGCAAAACAGCAAAGATGTGGTCATCCGAAAGAAACAGCAGTGCAATAGCTGAGGTTGTGCAAAACACTTAGATTAGTTCCCAGAGCTCTCTGTCACACTTTCTGTCTCCTTGTCCTCTACCCCTGTGTTGCTAGGATATTTGTCAACAGAATGGAAATTATACTGTTCCTGGGGAGAAATAGAATTTAATATTAATACTATCTCCTGTGGAAAAGCAAGAGTGAGTCAGAGCTGAATAGAGTTTGTTTTATATACGAAGTCTTTCATTCTGCAAGGTAGCTCAAAGCACAGTGCTGTGAATTTAATGCTACCGACTCGGGTGGCTGTGTAGGAAAACACAGCAGGCTTTATGCATTAAGCAGAAACGTGCGCTGCTGTAGCCATTAGGAGCAGTTTCACTAACAAAGAAATAGGGGAGAAATGCTCATCAGAGTCTTTCTCAGTGGGCAGTATTTGATAAGTGCCACAAGAAGCTTTGAATACACATGGCTGAAATCAGGTAGGATCACCTTGTTTTAAATGGACTCTGCTTTGTCTTTGGCTTTCCCTTTATTTATATTCCTCCTCAAAATGAAGCTGTTCTGCTTTCCTCAGCAGTGACTCCCATGTTCCTGCTGTCCTTTTTTCCCAACAAAATAATATAATACAATTTAAAACACTAGGATTCAAGAATACAAAGCTCAAAATAAGCAGGTTTGTCTGTTCTTTTAAGTAGGAACTCCACCTTTCCTTTCAGTGACTTTTCTGTAATGTCTCATTGTATTGGTCCTGTGTCCTGTCATGTCCTGATAATTTGTCCTAGCAGATGCTGTTGTAAGTAGCTGGTGCTTCCCCAAGCTATAACTCCCTGTGGAGAAGGAGGTTACCTGCTGAAGTTAACCCTGCACAGCTCTGTGTGCTGGTCTATGGATATTGCTGCCTGGTCAAACAAACCCAGAAAACGAGAGGCCATGGTTACTTCTGTTCTGCTCTGAGATGCTGCTTTCTCTGTTTGTGGCCAGGCATGGACAGACATAAGAGGAAGGAGGAGAGAAAGGATAACAGAGCTGGGAAAAAATATGGTGTTTTGTTGATGCTTGCAGGATCCAAGGCAGATGGTCAGTCACAGATGGATGCTTTGGGATGGCAGGTCAGCCACAACAGCTATCACTCTGGTTGCTGGCTCTCTTCCCCAGTTAACTGTGTGCCCTGGTCATCTCTCTCTCTCTCTCTTTTTTTTACAGATCTTTCCCAGTCTGGGCAGCTCTGGATGGCTCATAACATCTCGGCCTGTTGGCTGCAGTACAGTTAGTCTCAAGATGGCTGAAAAGCTGAGTTCAAGATGGAGAGAAAAGGCAGCTGGTGGAAGAGGAATTTTGAGGGAAGGGGAGACAGGAGGATTGCATGCTTCTGGGTCCTTGCCCACATAGTGTGTGTGATTGAGAGGGGCTCCAGTGGGGATCTCATGGAGCTACTGTGATTCTTCAGGTCCAGAATGGCTTTGTTACTGGCCTAGAGCAGATGCAGTCTGGCCACTGCCCTTTCTACAAGTCCTTCCCTCTCCCACTCGCTTCTTTTTTTGTTGTTTTTTTTTTTTTTAAGGAGGCAGAAAGGGAGACAGACTATCCCTTCATTATCTCATTACTTCTGGTGCATCTTTTAATGAACTAATTTCTAACTCCAAGCAATTTCTACACATTCCTTGGGCTTTTCCAGCTGGAGGATTTTATTGGTGTAATTCAATATCCTTCTCCTCCTTTTGTATTTTTCCCATTTATGCTCAGTGTTCAAGACTAAAAGAATATTTATAAATCTAGTGTACACTTCCCAAGCATCTATACCCCACTAGTGTAAGCCAACAAAGTCATTACTGTACTATCCCATAGGAGTCAACATCTGAATTTAAGGAACCCTCAGCTTTACTAGAATTAATAAAAATAGACAAAAATGCTTTACTGCTCCTATTTTTTTCTGGCACCATCCTCGGGCTCTTAGTCCCCAGCAGGTGAAGAGCTGCACTGACATGCCTATACACGTTAAGACTTTGAGCTGCCATTTTTCATGCTATTGCCACCTGCCACCCAAAAGTACTAATCCTTTTGGAGATAACGAAGGTGGTCTCTAACAAGTGTTGCATCATGGAAATATGATTTCAGTGGTTTTAAATTGTTAAAATGTTCATTCTCTCTGTAGTTTTCTTCCTTGTTTTTATTCCCTGCTTCATTTAATAAAGTCCACCTGCAAGAGAGCAGTGGAAGAAGAAAACAAAAAAAATCCTTTCAAAGCCATGCAAAATTACTTTTGAATCGCATGCAAATTCAGTCCTATTATTCATGAATTGCTATATGCAGCCTTTCTCTGTCAGGTCCTGAATCAAGGGCAGAAGTGCTATCTCTACAGCAACGTGAAGCTTTATGACAGTAAACCTATGAGGGAAACCACTGTACCACTGACATGAGCTCAACCTCCAGTGGCAGAGCTCACTGCTGGTGTTATGCTCATCAGTAACCTAAAGCAATTGGAGGATAAAGCTGGGGTTGGAGAAGGCTATGAGGAGAAGTTTATGGTCACAGACACACACACAGCCACACACACACACACACAGAGTGAGTCTAGGGAGGACCTCAGGAAGCTTATGGCTACTGAACTGTGTCCTTCTCAGCAGTCTAGGGACACACCAACAGGTACAGACAATGTTTCCTGCTTTTTATGTGGACTTCTTCACTGAGAAAATATCTGTCCCTTTCTGCAGGCATTAACCACAGAAGTGTTAAATGCAGAGTGTAAGTGAATGGGCTATTGGTCCTGTCCACCAACTTGCTTGGTAACCATTGCCTTTAGTCAGACATTATGTCTTTTGCCTCCATACTTCTTGACAGCTGGGAATCCTGGTCTTTGTGGCAGCATCAAAGTAGGGTTGTAGCCTTTTCCTGAAAGAGTGCAACCAGCAGCACCTCCTGGAGATATGCAATGGCATCCCCAAACATAGCATGAGTTCACTGAATACCAAAGGTTTTGTATCATTCAGGGATGATTAAGTCCCAGACAATTAAAGACTATTTTAGGATAAAACTAACATTGGTAACACCACTTAGATTTCTAGGATGAGATTTTGCTCTACAAAGCACTGAAAGAAAGTAAGAGATGCTGAACATAGACAAATGGTTTCCTTCTCCTACATGAGCCCATAACCCTGGTATGTCAGACCAGATTGCTGCTGCTCTCACTTATCTCGGCATGATTAGTGCCACATCACCAGGAGATGCCGACTGCCAACATAAGGCTCAGCAGCTCCAGCTTTTAACTGCGAACAGTACCTTCAGACTCCATCATTCACACTTGGCAAAGGCCAGCCATTTTTACAACCTGCTGTTGCTTTGACCAGTGCTGCTATGTCTGTGGTTAAGATAGGTTTTATGTGCTGCAGAAGGCTTCTTCTGCACAAGCTCTTCAGCACTGTGAGGGGTTTGTGGCCTTGTGACCCACTGGGGCAGTAGCAAGGGACCACACATGTATTCATCTCACAACAGATTTATTTTCATCTCTCCCATTTGTCATTGAGGTTACATTACCCAAGAAGTCAGGTTTTTACCTCTCCATCCTGGACCGTATTTGTGAGAGATCTCACAGGACATTCTCATCTAGAAAGAGCATCTCAGTTTAAAAGGTTCAGCTGAGTGTGAATCAAATGGATTGTATAGACATAAAGATCCCAGGAAAAGAGAACTGCTAGTTTCTCCCTGACCATCACTTTCTTTTGCAGTCTTACTCTGTCTCTGGTGGATGTAATATTAAAGTGGTATTAACCTGTATAATTTCCCTTTGTCTTATCAACATCCAGGAATTCATGTACATTAAGTCCTACCGGGTGTAGAGTGTATTCTAAAAAAAAAAAAAAAAAAAAAAAAAAAAAAAAAAAAAAAAAAGCAGCATCCAAGCATCCAGGTTACTTTTTCTGAACTGTGTGTTGATGTGAGTGATAGGGGAAAAGACAGATCTGTGATAGGAACAGTCCAGAAATGGCTTACAAAAGGCAGCATAAAACTGTTCCATCTGTCCATGGCAATGATTTAGGCTGGGATTTTTAAAGACACCTGATGTAGTGATGTGTCCAAAGCCAGAATGCTCTGCCAAATCCCCAGACTTTAATGTGGGATGAAGAGCATAACTGCATGGCCCACATCTGAAATACTCCACTCTGCTAATTTTCTGGGTTTTTTGCTGACCAGCTTTATTTTTGTTTTGAAGGAAAACTACTTGAATGAGACCAGTGTTTTTGCTTTCTCTCTGCTCTTCCAATCAGCTGTAGCTTTAGAAGTAGTACTTCAGTCTATTTGCTCCTATTTCAGAGTCTTCATTATGCTTCAGTATGTCTATTTAGGCTTGGCAGATAGACATGTTAACTGGCTGCTCTGTTCCTCCATTCCCTGGGGAACTTTTATCCCTTTAACAACTTAAAAACCATGTTCCACATGAAACAAGCAAGGAACTATTAAGAATCTTCATCCCACTTCTCCAGCTTTTGACAAGGTACCAGTGATTTTACCCTATGTTTGGACCCCTTGAACAACACATCAGCCTACCTAATCCTCTTGAAAAGTAACAAGGATGGGGATGAAGTAAAGGAACTCTACTCTTCTGTGAGGTTTCAAACCTTCTTTCAGGTTTATTATCTCTGTTTACTATCTCCCAGAAGAGATAAAACAGAGAATGGGGTAAAAATGTTCCTGACTGAAGCATGTTGGGCTTAAACAGCACAAAGCCAGCCCTGCTGATGTCTTTCTGCTGCTGTTGTTGAACTATGAGAGGGACATACCTAAGGGTTGCACCAGCTGGCACCTTTTTTGCACTCTAAACTGGCACTACTACAGTTAGTCAAAAAGGATCCATCTAGGTGTTTTTCAGAGGAAACAGGGTTCCAACTAAGAAAGGGCTCTCAATTTTTCCAAGGAAAACCTTTGATTTGGGAAGTGTAATCTTAGATTAGAAGGCAGAATAGGGTGTGACATGCTATGTAGCATAATACAGCCTCCATTTCTCTCAAAAGATACATTAGCTTGAGTCAAAGAAGAGACAGATCTGTTTTAAATTTCAAAATAAATAATTTACAAATGAATAAACAAATGCTTACAGTTTAATTAATCCTGTAGTTGCTAAAAACACTCCCAAACTAAGATAGCTATGAACATGTACAGGAGTACATTCAAACAACGTGCTAACAACCTAATAAAAATATTTACTTACATTGAATTTGATTCAATTAGAGATTTATTCTAATTATCTGACAGAAATTAACTACCTTTCCTTATTAGACCCTAAATAAAATAAATTCAATTATATTGTACCGACTTGAATAACTCACAGGGGAAAATGTGTGAAGAACTAAATAGCCTGTTCTGCCTAGTGAGGACTGCAGCCTGCTCAGCACCTTGCAGGATGAAGCCTTCTGAGCATTCCTCTCTCTGTGGGCTTGCTCTGCAACTACACAGCCCTTGAAGGGATCACAGATATGTGAAGAGATAATGAAGTCTCTGTCTGTACAATTATAATGGATTACTAAAAGTATCAGAGTTGCTGTAAATAAATCATTATATCAGGCTCATTTAGCCAGATTCCTACCCTCAGATGGCTCGTAATACAGTCCTAGCTCTGAAAATCAGCCATTCCTTTGCAATTAGATTTATCACTAATCAAAAATAGAAATTATCCTGCCAGCTCTGAATTGCGTCTGGAAATGCTGAGTTGGGCTCAAGTCTCAAAGCTGTATTTATTAATTTATTTAAATTTTTAAAACACCCATCTGCAAAGATTTAGATGGCCTAACTATTAATTAAAACATACAATGACCACCTAGTGAGGTGCAGCACCCACATTAATCCAGCCATCTAGTAAATCACAGCAGCAGAAGAGCTCCTTTCACCTCCTGTCTCCTGGCAACACACCTTTCACCTTTCTCAAAAACTCCATCCAGTA